TCCGTGGGGGGGGCTGCTGCCGGTGCCACTGGGGTGCAGCCTGCTCCCCGAGCCAGCCAGGGAGCAGAGCCCCAGCGAGGAGAGAGGGTCCCTTGCCCTGGGGCACCCATGCAGTTCCCAGGCTTGGGGGCCCAGCCGGCCTGTGCCTGGTGCATGAGGGTCCCTGTCATCGCAAGGCAGACTACTGGCCACACGGCCCAGCCCCAGCGTGCTGTCCACAGACCGCATTGGGAACTAGGCTGGAACATGCAGCAGTGCGGGGTGCCGGGCAGGGAGGGGGCCATCCCTGTTTTTGTGTCTGTGCCACAGCTGGAGCTCTGGGCGCTGCCATGCCGCACCTGAGAAATACCACGGAGCACCTGGCCCAGTGGGGTCCCATGGCTGGGCTCCTAGGCACTGCCGCCATACACCTCATAGCAGGGCTAATCCATGCTCTGTGGTGTTGGTACTGAGCTGTCGAGTGGTTTAACACTGCAAGGCAGCTGGTTGTGTATTTTACATGGCAGCGTCTTGGGTGCCGGGTTCCATGCAGGTTCTGTGGGTGGTTTGAGGTCCCACCCGTGTGTTCTCTCAAAATCAGCTGCCTCCTTGTGGTTTTCAGCTCTGTCCTCTCCCAGAAGCACAGCTGAGTCAGGTGCTCCTGGCCCATGTCTCTGGTCGCCAGGGCCCAGCAGGCAGATCAGAACTCGCCCCTCTCCTAGGCTGGGAGAGGCTCGGCACTTGGCTAAGAGCGGGGCAAAGCAGGCTAGAAATGGAGGGACTGGGAACAAGGGGGAGGGCATGTTACCTTGGCTCCCCGATCCTGCCTCTAAGGGGGGGTGATGTTGGGGGGTATCTTGCTGGTCGCTAGGCTTGGGCTGTCCCCTACTGGCCCTGTCTGTGAGCACGGCCCACAGACCGGTTCTGACTTGGGGGAGGGAAGGAGGAGGGAACAAAGGAAGGACGTGGGGGGAGGAAGAGTGAGTCTGGGGCTGGAAACATGATGGAGACAGCCTGGGGGGGGGGCTTGAAGACTGGGGGCTCAGGCACCCGCCTTAAGGGGTCTGGGGCATCCTGCCCCCCTCCTATTGCCACATCATGTCTGTGCTGGGCCGTTCTGGAAACGCAATAAACCCCTCTCTGCTCTGCAGGCGGGTGGAGACTGTTCTGGTGCTCCGGGGGTGCAGGATCTGGGGACCCCAATGCGCCGTCACAGGGGTGATGTGTCTGGCACAGGGAGCTGGGCGGGTGGCATATGGGGAGATGCACAGGGCCACTGCCGGAATCCAGCGCAGACTCAGGGAGGCTGGGTAAGGAAATGGGCTGGAGCTCTCCAGCTCTGTGCCATTGGTGCTAGGCCAGCCTCAGGTGGGAGGAGCTCTGGCTGTGGGGTGGGGAATGGGGCCTTTCCCCTTTAGGGGGCACTCGTCCCCTCCTGTGCCAGGCCTGGCCCCCAGCAAACAGCCAAGATGTGCAGCCCTAGCGAAGAGCCGTGCGCCCCAGAAGGGTGCAACACCGGCTGCAGGCAGCAGGGGTCACACTCCACCAGACTAGAGCTACGTGCTCCCAGTGTCTCAGGGTTTGTCCCTGAACAGCCCCTGGGCCCCGGGCGGCTGGCAGGGGCCAGCCCTGGGGGCCCAGCCTCAGCGCACTCCTTGCGGAGCACAGGGCTTGTGACACGCCCCAGGGTGCCGGGTCCACAGTGACGTTTAATCAGCCGGTCGAGTAGTCGATGGCATTTCCGTGGACTTGGTCGATAAGGGGGGAGTGCGGCGCTGCAGGGGGGCGAGCTCCCGGCCCCAGGAGC